TTGCAGGTTATCCCCTGTCCTCTCTCCTACCTGCCTACAAGTCTGAATACAGAGTTTTCCAGATCAGTGCCCTCTCTGAAGGTGTCACCCTTGCCTTACTCACCCTCCGGGAGACTTTGGAAGGCTGTGGTGTCCTTGTCCAAGGCATCACAGGCAGGAAATCCCAATGGGAACTGGCCTACCTCGATGCCAGTTGTCTGGTTCCAGGACCGCAGATTCTCTTCCAGGGGCCCAGTGTTGTCATTCTCAGAATAATCCTGCTGGCTGCTCAATGTCAAGGTGGAGGTGTCACTGAAGATGAGGCTGGATCCCATGCTCAGAGTGTCATTGGCACCCAGGACCAGGGTCATGCATGAGGGTGGAGAAATGGTGGTGTTGGGTCTGTGGGTGCTGGAGTGCACACTGACCCCATCGCTGGAGGCAGGAATCAGGGTCAAGCATGAGGACTGTGTGACAGTCATGTTCAAATCAGACTTGGGGTTGCCATTTGAAGCCACATTGATGGTTTCCTGGGAAGTAGTGTTCCAGGTTGTACCAAAGGTGCCTTTAGAAACAGACCCAGAGATCTTATGTGACACCAGAGACGTTATGATGGTCTCCTTCATGTCTGGGATGAGGTTCCCACAAGAACCAGGAGCTGCCTTCAGGTCCACCTTGGAGATGTTTCTCGAGCCCAGGCTGAAACACTGATTGAAGTCGGGATCCTGAGAAGAGTTTGATCCTGGAACCAGGGGCACTTTTAAGTTCTGCCTGGAGATGCAATGACCCAGAAGCAAGCTTTCTCTTGAACGGGGCCTTGTATATGGGTTCAATTCAGCCCTGGAAGGATTGGAGTTGCTCTTACCCAATTCAAAATTTTTGTTTGAGAGGGAATTTAAGGGCTCCTCAGAGCAGACCTCCGAGCTCAAACCATGGATCTCTATAGAGCCAGGGCAGAGAATAAGGTCTGAGGCTGGATCTAGGGCTACCTCTGAGTTAGGCCTCGAGATGTGGTTCAAATCCAGGCCTACGGCTTCACCAAAGTGGGAAGTGGAGTTCTGGAGGGAGGGTGGAGACACAGACCTGCTATCACTGGGTCTGGAGGTGTTATCAGGCACCAGGTCAGGGGCCTCCTCTGAGACAGGACTAAGATCTAGAATGGTAGCCGAGCCAGGACTCGGGGTTGGATTCAAGAGAGGAACAAGGGTCATGTCTGTATCAGGCCCAGAGACAGTGTCAGAGTCTAAACTCAGGGTCCCTGCAGAGTTGAGCCTGGGTGTCATGTCTGAGTCTTCACGGAGCACCAGGCTAGCCCTTAGACTCAGGGCCATGCCCGGCCCGAAGCTCTCTCAATGCCACAGTCCCCTTCTCTCCAGTAGCTGACTGTCGAGCTTTCTGCAATGCTCCTGAAAGAGAGAAAAAGCAAATTTAGCCGTGCCACACCTGTTAAAACCTTTCCAGGGTTGGGCTTCCCCTGGTGGCACAGGTAGTTGAGCGCCATGCTGTGAAGCTGTCTGCAGCCTCTGCAGCACCAGTTTGATCCTGATCGGCCAGGGAGGGTCCCACGTGGCGCGGCAGACCTCTCCTGTCTCGCCTGCTGCTCCCCTCAGCAGTGTATTTCGCCAGTCTGCCTGTTGGGTTCCCCGCTCTGTCTCTGTTGAATCCTCTCACCCTCCCACACATCTGGCCTGTACCCCAGTTCTTGTATAAATAAACCTTTAAAAAAAAAACCTTTCCAGGGCTCCCCAGTATCCATGGGATGAAGACCATGGTATGACTTACAAGATCTTCATGACCACGCCCAGTCTACCCTTCCACCCCATCCTGTCTGCTTTCCACCTCACTCTAGTTCCAGCCACATCCCATGTGCCTCTCTGCTCTGACCACACCCTGCACCTTTCAGCTCCTGCCCTTAGCAGGTACACTTTTCTTGGTTTGAACACCCCCTGTCTCACCATAATCTTTTGCCAAGCCCATTCCTCCAAGTAAACTATTTTCCACACTGTGTTCCAATGATTCATGTGCTGAGGCCCACTAGTGATGACCACAGGCTGGCAAGAACTCCATATCTCTTAGTCTCTAGGGCACCCCCAACATAGTGCCAGATGTCCAGGAGGAAGTCCACAAATACTAGACAAATGAGGCACTACACCCACTGAAGACAGAAAAAGGGAAGAAGGAAGCTCCTTGTGGGTTACACTACTTCCAGCCAACTGTTAATTTGCTAGAACCACCCTGCAAGTGACCACAGAACTAGATTCCCAAAGCAGCCCCAGCAGAGCCACCTACTGCCCTTAACAACTTATCTGTTCTGAGTGAGGCAGGCTTCATGGAGGAAAACCTGAGGCAATCATTCAGCAGAGAACCTGCGTCAACCCAACAACCTGCTAGGAGAACTTCCCAACTTTCCCCCAGGAACCCCACCCGACACTAGACCACCCCTCCTGCAGGAATCATGGGGACAGCTTACCTGCATGCATGGTGTTCCTAAGCAGGAGTGGGGCCCTGGGTGGAGACACAAAAGGGGACCAAGTCAGGCTTAAGTATGGCCTTTTCAATAGTCTACAGGCCAGACATGCAGCATGCATATCTGTTAACAAAAGCCCTACTTGAGAGAAAGAAAGAGAGAGAGAGAGAGAGAGAATGACAAAAGTTAAATATTCTTCATCCATTACAGACTTAAGAAAGTGGAGGCCAAGGGAAGGTAGGTCATCATGCCTCTGGTACTCAGGGCCACCAAGAACATCTTTATGTCACCCATCTGCTTAAAATCTTCCTCAGCTTCTTCTTGTCCAATTATTTTTCTTTTTTTATTTTTTATTTATACTATAGCTGGGGTACAGGCCAGAGGTGCGGGAGGGTGAGAGGGATTCACCAGAGACAGAATGGGGAGCAGAACATGCAAACAGAACAAAAGCACTGCTGAGGGGAGCAGTGGGTGCGACAGAAGACATCTGCCACACCATGTGGGTATCTCCCTGGCCGGCCAGGAATCCAACCCCCACTGCAGAGGCTGCAGACAGCTTCATAGCGCTGTGGTTAACCCTCTGCACCACCGGGGAGGCCCTACTTTCCAATTCTTAGTAGGACCTGAAAGGCCCTTCGGTGTCTGATCCAATTCCTTTTCACCCTTCTTGACCCTTCCCACTCCCTTCCTACTCTATTTCACTATCCCTCAACTCTTAGTTTCTCTGTAGAGGCAGGCTCCCAGATTTGGTCTGGACCTTCCACAGGTTGGGCAAGTCATCCTCCAGCCTCCTTCCTCAGCTAACACTTATAGCGTCATTCCTTCAGATTTCAGTTCAAACATTAAGGGCTCCCAGGACCCTCCAGACAGGTGTAAGTGTAAGTCAGACATTTTACCCACTTCCACTTTCTTAGCACACAATATCTCATTTCCCCACCAGGCAATAAGATTCCTAAGAGTCTAACACAGCTCTTGACACACAATAAATATTTAGTGAATGAGCTTGTTACTTCATCTTTTCCTTCATTCACTCATCTATTCCTTTTCTTGTCCATCTTATCACTTACTCTCTTGTTAGTCATTCATGCACTCACAAAATCATTTACTCCATGATTTACTGTGCATCTTTATAGCTTGATTTTAGAGAAACCATCGATTTGGAATGATATGATCCTGGGTTCAAATCCCACCTCATCCCCCTGCTAGTGTTAGTCAGCTTGGGCAAGAGACTTTACCCCTCAACCTCCTCATAGCTCTTAAGTTAAGGGGAGCTCAAGGCCTGCCACCCAGGATGGTTGTAGTTTCAGTGTCCAGCACGAAGCACATGGCCCCCCAAAGACTTTCTCTAAACAAAAGCTATCTGTCCCATTACCCCCCACCAGACACCGTGGGCAAGGAAGAGCAAGGTGTTCAGAGATACTGGGGGCTTTCTTCATCCCGAGCAGGCAGCTTTGCAGCCTGCCACAGAGGCAGGAAGCATTCACATGCCATCAGTACCCAGAGGCAATTTTACCCTAAATCTAAGGAAATTTTAAATTTCAGGGTTCCTTGCTTGCACAATCCTATTCCAAAGGGATTGTACTGGGCCTCCCTGGTGGCACAAGGGGTTAAGATGCAACCTATGAAGCTATCCACAGCCACTGCATCACGAGTTAGATCCCCGGCAAGGGAGCTACCTACATGGCACAGCAGACCTCTCCTGACTCACCTGCTGCTCCCCTCACTAGCGTACTTTGGTCTGCCTGTTCTGTTCCTCACTCTGTCTCTGGTGAATACTCTCACCCCCTCCCCCCGCACCTCTGGCCTGTACCCCAGTTCTTGTATGCATAAATAAATAAAACTTAAAAAAAACAAAGGCTGAATTTGAAACCTGCTCTCTCACAAGTAGTATAAGCCTTAGCAGGTTGCCTTGCCATACCAAGCATCAGCCTATTATTCAGTCCACAAGATTACTGCAGGGACTAAAATGGGGTCGTGCACATAGTGATGATCCCAGCAGCTGGCCTGAGGTAGACCCTCAATAAATGTTCCTCCTCACCATCCTTTCTCATCTTGGCAAGGGTAGGGTAGTGGGACTTGAAAAAAAGACAACATCTGGTTTCCAAGCTCTCTGCCTTCTCTTTCCCCCAGCTTATAAGAGTCCCTTCCTGGGTTTTTTCCTCCCATCTCCCTCACCTCCCCCAACTCCCACACCCACTACATCCTCACAACTTCATAGTCTAAACTCTTTCTCCATGAGCCTTGAGCTACAGATATAAAGTTCAATGTGTTACCTCCACCTGCGGCATCCACATGGTAACAGAATTCAGCTTTAAACCAAAGGTATGAAGTTCTAATTGTGGAATTACAACCAGAGGGGGGACACTTTAACCCAGGGGGGTGGGGTCAAGATGGTAATTGACTTGTGGAGGCTACCCCCACCCCTGGACTTTTCCAGAGCCTCCCGTTAGCTTATCTAGGTTCCCCTGAATCCACGCCAACGTTATAGTCTTTGTGAGGTCACCATGACTCAAGAATCCCCAGCCAATGAGGTCTCTGCTCATATCTAATAGTGAGAAGAAGCAGGAAGATGTTTTTCAAAGAAGGACCTATCTTCAGCCCCCCTCTCATACCTGGAAATGACCTTGTTACAGAGATATCTCCATAAAAGGGGGAGGTACCATGCTCCCTGCCCCCATTTAACTAAGAATGAAGCTGAGCAGCCAGGTAAAGCTATATAACACAGAAGGCAGGTGGGCTCTAAAGAAAAAGGAGAAAAGTCTTGCTTCAGCAATGTGATATGTGTCCGGTACTGCTGGGAAGGAGACATGAAAGGAGAGGTACAGAGGAGAAACATGTAGAAACACTTGAGACACTCTGGTGAGAGACACTTGGGGAGGTTGGCAATGGCAGCCATTATCTTGACAATGGTATCCCTGTAACAGTATCTCATTTTGTCCCAGTTTTCTGGGACAGAACCCTTTTCCTATGGTTCCCTGCCACAAGGTGCCTTAGACATGTGGCAAGCTCTCGGGCCTTAGCAGACCCCATTTCAGGCCAACCCTGTTTGGCAGGGTATTTACCTACCAGGAGATGGGTAATTTGGGATGTTTTATTGGAAAACTATTATTCTTTCTTCTCTTCCATCTCTAAGCACACTAATTCTATTAAAGTTCTTTCACTCAGTCTGCTTTGCCTTTGTGTGCACTGATGGCTGTACCCCTTTAGAGCATGCAAATTTGGGGGTCCTGCGGTACCCCTTGGTTGCCCATGAACTGTTATAGGGCAGCCCCGATACAAAACGGGTTACCTGACTGTGGGTCCTCACCCACACACTTAGAAAGGACTTATCAATACTCTACTGCAGGCACACACGAAAGGTTAATAAAAGGTTTATTTACAAGGGAAGGGCAAATGAGGAAATGTACAACTCAGGGAGAAAAGTGGGAGACAAAGTTTTAAATGAGTCCTATCCGATCCGCCGATCTGGAATCCCAAATGGCACTCTGAGAGCTGGCCGCAAGCCAGGAGCCATGAAGCCAGGAGGTAAGCAAGAGAGCGAGCCCCCCAAGGCCCACGTGTTTGGTTATTATACCAACCCTGGCTGCTTAACTCCACCCTCAGGTCCCAGCCACCTTCCCTTTGGTGGTGACAGGATTTGTCTTTCCCAGTGTCCTGATGGCTTTGGTCTGGAGTGGGAGTGGAGTCCACAAAGCCTGCATGGAATTAGCTCAGGACATCCTTTTCCCCCTAACAATTCTCCCCTAACAGAATGACTTCACTCAAATACGGACTGAGTTCCTCGCAGTGTATTCATACTTCCCTGTAAAAACCACTCACTTTATGATCTTATGCTCCATTGATCTTAGGGTGACAGCCTGATCCCTAGGAACACTGCAGGGTTTAGAGTACAACTCTTGCAAGGTGGAGTTTCGTAGGCTGGGAGGTGTATGCAAAAGCTTTGGAATCAGGTGATCTGTGATGAGGAAACAGACACACAGAGGAGATATTGGCCCTAGATCACAAGATAGGACTTAGCCTGTAAGCACTAATCTTTTCCCTGCTTCACCCAGCCTCCTTGCCCCAGGCACAGATAACAGTGCAGAGCAGGGTGGGAATGGGCCTGTAGACCCAGAACATGAAACCTACATTCCATGATAAGGAAATAAAGACACTGATCTCTTTCTTTAAAAAAAAAAAAAAAAAGCTTTCTAGCAATAACTAATTAAGAATACTGATGAGCTTGAAAAACTTCACTAAGCACCAATTGCTAAGAGATAGTGGAATCATCCTATCCACGATGCTTTTTCACCTATACCTAGCTCAGTAAATTTCAGGGAATCAGTATGTCAGATGTTCTAAGGCCTGCACCCCTAAAACTACCTCATCACACAGAGTTCCCATGGATGAGCACCTCATAGTGAATTTCCCCCAGTCCATTTTAGATCTTGTTTTTCTGCACCCTCCCCTCTCCCTTCTCCCCTACCTGCTTGCACCTAACGCTGCACCTTGGCTCCCTCCCCCTGTTGAGCCAGCATCCTCAAAGCTCCTCCTTGAAACAAGGCCAAGTTTTCTCTCTTGAGCAAAAAAGCCCTTTCCTCTATCTTGCTGCTTACCCAATCTCTCCACTTGCTTGTTAGCCGCAGTCCTAGTAAGCCTCTCCCAAGAACCCTTTCTAACTGCTCCCTCTCCATTTCTGGCCACTTGCTTCTAATTATCCATCAAGTCCTTCCAATTTTGCCACTTGCCAAGGAACAAAACCTGCCACCCCAAAAACACGTCTTAGGCATAAAGATTATTTCACAGGATGGGCTCTAAAAAGTGTGTGGAGCCACCCCCCACCGCCTTTTGCAATAGATACTTGTATGGAGGGAACATCTCCCTACCTAAGGGGTCTTGCTCAATATACCTGGGAAAACTAATCTCTTTAATGCCATGCTTGGAGAAGGCAGCAAGTTAAACCTGCACAACAGTCAAAACTGTGACCTCCCATAACTGACCTCCCTCTTCCCTTCCCCAACTTCTCTTGCTTTGAAGTTGTTTAAGGAGATGACTTAAGCCATTTTGGTGAATTACTCAGTTTTTAATGAACTTTTTTTCCCTCTTGTCAACCCATCTGATGTTGATTATTTTCTAACTTAGAGAAGCCAAGAGGGAAAAAAAGAATCGCCCCCTCTCCCATGTAAAAACATTTTACAGATTTTTGCTCTTGGAAGTTGTTTCTTTCGAATGTTGACTCTCCTGGTCTCTTCCTGCTTTTGATCTCCTGGAGACTTCAGGGATTTGTTTTTTCTATTTGTCCCAAGCTTATAATTTTGATTTCTTAGAGGCTTCCTCTGATAAGAACTTCTTTGTCATTAGAGAAGTACATAGTCTATGTTGAATGTTATGGGGAAGAATCGGGATGTAGGCTGGGAGCACAGGGGGAGAAAAAGTTCACCAGAGACAGCTTGGAGAACAGAAAAACCAGATTTATTGGGATCCACTGCAAAGAGGAGCAGTGGGCAAGACAGGAGAGGTCTGCTGTGCAGAGAGGAAGGTTCCCCACATCATTGATTGGTTAGGATGACTGGTCGTGGGTGTGTCCAGACTAAGGATCTCCATCACCAGCTTAAGGCTGCTTCTCAGGGCAGTCCCATCCACTCCCTTCATCCATTCAAGCCTCCCAAACTTGCTTGCTCCTGGGCAAGGAGTGGGGCTTAGTTTTTAACTTTAGGAATGATATCATGACATTGGATTGCTCTTTTTTTTTAAGATTTATTTATTTATACAAGCACTGGGTATAGTCAGAAGCACGGGAGGGTGAGAGAATTCTCCAGAGGGGAGAGCAGAGCAGGCAGACTGACGAAGTACACTGCTGAGGGGAGCAGTGGGCAGCAGGAGAGGTCTGCACGCCGTTTGGGACCCTCGCCCAGGCAGCTGGGGATGGAACCGGCGCTGCAGAGATTGCAGGCAGCTTCGCAATCCAGCGCTCAACCGCTGCGCCACCGGGGAGGCCCTGGATCTCTCTTTTTTAATTCCTTCTTCTTTCTTGCTTTCTTTAGGATGACTAACTTCGCCTTCCATCTTTCCCTCCTTCCCCCTCCCCCCCTTACTCTCTGTTGGGAAAGTACATAGTCTACGTCTGTCTGTAAGGTCAGGAATGGCCATGGAGCAGGTTTTCTATAATCCCATGCAGATGGGGTAAAGGAGGAGGAGTCCTGGAGATCTCAGTGGGTTTGCAGGCTTTTATTGGGATTACCAGGTACACGACAGGCAGGGGGCTGGGGGGCCGGGAGGCTGGCAGGCCTCCCAGCCCCCAGCAAGTCTTCACTCTGGGCTCTCCGGCCTTCTCTCATGTTCTCTCTGCTCTTCTCATGGCTCTGCTTCTCTCTCGGCTTCTGCTGGTGTCCCCATGACGCCACCCTTAAAAGCCCAGTCTTAGCCCAGGTGAATCCTATCTACCTAGGCCCACACCCTACTCCAGGTGCCCGCCATTAGGCATGCATTCGGGACCACAGGTTCCGTCATCTATCCTAATGGCGGGAGGGCAGAAAAGCCTGATACTTTTACCTTACCCTACAATCCACCCCCTAAGGGTTTTCTGCCAGAAAGTCTATACAGGTCATATATGTTTCTCTTGGCAATATGAACACTGCAGCCATGGCCCATAAAAGTACATAGAATATAACTGAATACATAAAATAAACAGAACACAAGTCCAGGCAGGGCCCCAACCTAGTGGCAAAAGACTATTGGCACCAGCAGATGATCCACCAAATCTGCTGCCGAAGGCACTGCTCATTTAAGGGAGGGGAACCACTCACAGAATCTACTGTCACACGCCAGGAGCTATCAGGCTTCCTGGCCTTCTCTGGCTGTAGTCTCGGCTACAAGCCACACACCGCATCCACCCCCAGGATGCACTGACTCTGGGATTGGTGATTCTATTATGTTGGGGGTAATCGCCAACCCTCAGGGTTTCTGTCTGCAGTCGCTCCAACACTCGGCCTTCATAGCCACCAATGCGACTCGCAGACCCCTGCACTCAGGCCAACCCACTGCTCAAGCACATGGGTCGGGGATCCAAACTCTACATGCGGCCTCTCTTGGGTCCCCTCTTCGGCTTGGGCTCCACCCCAAGTCACGTTCCCCACACGTCCCCCAAGGACGGGTTCCTCAGCATTTCACCCTCACTCAAGAATGAGCAGGGCATCACCCAGGGGTGATTTTAAGAGACTCACTGGTCTTCAGCATACTTAGGCTGCTTAACAGCCGCTCAGGGCTTCTCAACTTAGCACCAGCTTTTGCTTTCTCAAAATTGGCTTTTTTCCTCTGCCTGATGCTGGGCATACACAGGCTGCTTTTGGCCATCAAGGCCCACTGGCCACCCCCAGATTCCCATCTCCTGGGGTGTACAAACAATAGCATTCTCCCCCAGGGTCCCAAAAACTTAACTTGCCAAAGTTCCTCCACCTTCTGGCGGGATTGTTAGTCCAAGTCCATTAGTCCAAGTCCGTTGGCCTCTCCTGCATCAGCACTGACGAGCTCCGAATCGTGGTCCTCTCTTCCCCGACGATTCTGCTGCCTCAGGGGTCATTGGCTGGTCCTCTCGGGCATCTTCTCCACACAGCTCCTGGACCTTGTCCATCTTCTGTGCTGCCATGGCGCCTCCAGCGCTGTCACAGGCTCAGTCTGCTACTCCTGAGGTCTTTGGAGGGCTCCATACCCGTCTGCATGGATCATCT